TGTGTGTGTGTGTGTGTGTGTGTGTGTGTGTGTGTGTGTGTGCGTGTGTGTGTGTGTGCGCGCTTTGTATAGATTACTTATATAGATACTAATTAGAAATTTCTCGCCGTTCAGTCGCCGTTAGACCTTGTTTGTGATCTAAACCCTACCCTCCCACCTCGCTGGTACCTTAAGCAGGGTAATATCAAGAAGTTTATGTTTTTATTACCTACCTTTGTTAGCTTAATATCATGGCATTTCACTGGGTAATGATTCTATCAGGTCCACACTTGATCATCGCCTTACCTTAATAAGGCCGACATTGGGGAATTTCTCGAACTCGAGTACGGCCTCCTCGCCCGGCTGACCGGCCTTCTGTCCCTTCAGGATGCGTGCGGCCGTCACCGTGGACATGCCCATGCCGTCACCCATGAACAGTACTGTGTTTCTCGCCACGTTCTCGTTATTCCGGTAGGCGAGCGTCTCGCGTAACGCTTCCCGGGCGTTGGCGAACCAGAATTCCTTGTCTGCCGAACAAAAGAAATGAGAAGTTCGTATATAAATTATACAGCGCAGTTTGTTAGTTGATGCTGCGGATTGGAATCGCGGGGGTGGGGTGGGGTGGGTGGGGGTGTTGATGGATGATGGCAACGCAGCGGTGTGCGCGCGGGGGTCTGCTCAACTCCTAACTGATACGACGATAAAATAAACCACAAAATTAAATCAACAATTACGTGAAAATATACACGTGAATGTGCGAGAGATAATCCTGCGCGCCTACGGACAGATTCACAAAGATTCTCGCACGTGCACGCTTCGTGTCTGCAGGCGCACACCCGCGAGTGCGAGTCTGTGAGAGACGTATAGGAACAAAACAAATGTGTATCGCACTCTTGTTCATAGTGCAGCCTAGAACAGGTGCGTTAGTGTGGTTAGTAACAACTACGATTTTGTTCTAAGATGGACTGATGCTCCAGGATTAGTGAGTCGGTTCGGGACAAGCACGAGCTCAAAGATAAGCCATTCCATGTTAATCGTGTGTGTTTCAATCGTAGATTCTCCATAAGTCATACCCTCGGATTTTTTCAACGTATTGCTTTTTAAACAGAAAATTGAAAAATAATGCGTTACTATTATCACGTTTAGAGTAGCCACAGAGGAACGTAGCCGCACAAGAGACGCTAAAAATGCGGCGCAAATCTCAAATATAATTGGCAGTTACAATTGCAAACTATATAAAACCCCTCGTGAGAATAGCCTAGCATGCATGTGTTTGATCGGGAAAAAACAGGAAAAACATTACGAAATTACGTTTCAAGAAATTCGCGAAAATACTCTACGTTGAAACAAAGAAAGACGTAATACTGTTAAACAAAATCATATGAATTAAAAGTGTTAAACAGACACCAATCGTTCGACGTAAATCACAAATAATTGATTTTTAATTGTTTATTGATTAATACAGCGCGCCTTTACGCGGCTTGCAAATCATTACGGCATAAGATCTGCCTGTGTAATTTTTGACAATTAATTATGTCTATGCGATGACACGATGCTCACGTTTGGGACCCGACTAGCAATGCCTATCTAAGTTGAATTTATCTAAGAGATGTTAACATGCGAAACTGCTATAGCGTTCACGTGCTTGCTCACACGCAAAGTTACAACTCACACGCAAAGTTACAACTCACACGCAAAGTTACAACTCACACGCAAAGTTACAACTCACACGCAAAGTTACAACATTGTATCGGCAGAACAATTTACTTTCACAGTGCTCACTACATAACAATGATATTCCGAGTACCACAAAACTAACCAGAACTAGTAATTACTTACCCTTGGGATACAAGGATCCTTGCGTCTTCAGAAGAGCGAAAACATGATATTCATGCCCATTATTATACTCAAATGCACACAAGTTAATATATGTTGGATTACGCGCGTGTTAATTGCATTAATACGCGGCATAACAAGCTTGTTATTATTAACGAATCCACTAATTGCCCTTGAAGATGAATTTTGCCGAACGGGAAAGATTTAAATCCGCAAGAACGAGCAGGCGGAAATTATCACGCGTAACAATATAACTAAGCAAACGTTTCACGCTCAGAAACAACACCGACCGCACAAAGTCCGCATTGTACGTAACATGTTTTAATAATAATAATAATAATAACGTAGAATAATAACAGGGTACATGTTCGCGCTCGGCAAGCATGTAAGGTACCTTCAAGCTTCCGCACTGGCAGCGCCGTGCACAGACAGAACAGCGAGATCGCCTGCGCGGCGATCGTGTACGTGATGACCATCATCTCCGTCGTTCGCAGCCACGCTAATCCGATGCGGGATGTTCTGATAATCAGGTGTTTAGTGGAGAATTCCCTCGACCGATCTGTTCTGTCCGCGTGCCGTATCGCACAAGAGTGGATGCGGAATCTCGCGTGGAGATCTTGTTTCGATCACAGCCGTAAGCAGCAGGTTAACACCGCCATGCGCTCACTGCTCACTGTCGCGAACAGCTGCCATGAATGCAATCATTGAGCAACTATCCTGTCTTTATGAACGGAGATATATATATATATATATCGCTAAGGCTGCAATGCACGAAGAACATGTGAAGCAGTAATCAAAAGTAGGAGGATGATGATGATTCTGAGACGATAATTGTTGACATAGAATAATGTAACATTATATTGTTGCCTTTTGCTTTCTGTTTTTAAGTCAGTTTGTCTGTCTCTCCGTCCGTGCGTCTGTCTGTCCGTTTGTCCGTGCGTGCGTGCGTGCGTGCGTCCGTGCGTGCGTGCGTGCGTGCGTGCGTCCGTCTGTGCGTCCGTCCGTCCGATTCCGTCTGTCTGTCTCTCTCTCTCCACGGATCGCACGGCAGAGCAGTGGGCGGGTGCCTACATGCCCCCAATCATCTGAGATAGCTGCTCAGTGCGTGTTAGTTAAAGCAGTCGACCGTATATACGGAGGACAAATTTTATTGCTTAGTAGAACTTCAGATGGCTAATTATACAGAATCCTGACTTGCTTGCTCGCAGACTATAGACAGCTTCTGATTTCTATCTCTGGCCGGGTGTGCATCCAGGTTAGTATTTGCACGTATTCCCGAAAAACTTCCGCCTGTGATTTCCATTTTTACTTGGCTCTCGCAACCGCATTTTATGTTCTTTAATACAATTCTTTAGCGAAACTTTCGCGAACTGGTCCACCAGCGAACGGCTAGATTCGTTCAGTAAGAAATACAGTTACGCAAGTGCGTTTGGTTGTTTAGGCGAACGGATTTTGTATACTAAATATAATCAATCATTTTGCGGTTTTTGTGTGAATTCTTCCCGTTGAGCAGACAGCCTGAACAGTCTCACTAGCACTAAGATAATAATTTCGCCAATGTAAACGAGAGAAATCTGTGTCTTCCGATTAACTTAAATGCATAATGTCTATGATTAAAGCGTGGTATAAGTGGTGTAAAGGAAACCCACGAAAATAGATAGTATTTTTGCATTCTTTAGCATAGTATCGCTTAGTAAGATTATAAGTATCCATTTCCATAAATAGTGGACTCCACGCTAGTGTACACTACTAGCTCTACGCTACGCTAGTTGTAATACCGCAGAAATACATAGTAATAAATATACACTATTATGCTATTATTCTATTGTGGGGTACATGCCCAGCTGTGTAAAGTCGTGACCATGGACTAGCCAGTAGTAGAGGCAACCAATTGCAGGCAGTCGCGTATAGCGGATTGACGATAAACAATAGATAGGCGGGTCTCCAGTTCAGGTATATAATCTCTTGTTTGACAAGAGAGAAGGACAGACAGAGAGCTCGAGAAAAAACCAGCCGAATGTTGCCCCCGAGAGATGGCGCTGCTATCGCCAGTAGCATTTCGCGAGCGGCAGCAGCTGGCTGCGGACGAAGTTCAACAGCGCTACTCTACACGCGTCTCTGGTAACGAGCCAGCGCCGAAGTGGCCGCAAACAACGGCGAGAGGAACGTCAATGTTTTGTAACGTTGATCGCTACCGCTCGAGCCGCCCTGGCAGCCTCGGAATTACACAATACCTTAGCTCGCGAGCTGACATAGCAGGAGTACCCGGAACGAGGCGGTAGCGTGTCGATGACAGCATGCACGCGTACGTACGCCGAAATACGTCAAACATTCGGCAGCTGTGGTCTATATCTGTAAACTGGCAAGTTGAGAGTTGAGATTGAGCTCGGCGATGATCGCGCCAGCATCGGCGGCTACATCGTGCGTCGGTCGTAACTGGTCGTGCCACGCTCGCCGCGGCTAGAAGGTGGACATATGGTCCGACTGGTCATGTTTTAGCCAAATGGGTCGTTTCGTGGAGCGGGTGGGGGCGTAGTGAAAAATGACATACCTAAAGATGACTATGATTACGAGCGTTCTTAGATGTATGACCTCGCGGGTTTAACAGGTTCGTGCATCGGTATGACTTCATTTTAGCAAGCTCTGCGAATTAACCCACCATCCTTTGTGATCGCATTCAGTACTGTGCTTTATTCACTCTATACCCAGTGAATGTCCAGAGGCTCAGCTCGTGTGATGATGCCGTGCACCTTGACAAAAAATTCGGCATCTCAAGGACGGCTATAAGTTTCATTAAACATCTGATTATTAGTATTGAAACAAGAACATTATTTGTTTTGACGTGCTTCTCGAAAAAAAGTGGATAAGAGGGGAAATGGATTCAAGGAGAGAGACAGCGGGGGCGATATCGTAGTTCATATAAAAAGTTGTTGACACTGCGCAAAAAATAGTAGCAGCGAAGCGTCGATAGCGACATATTCCTGACATATTTACAATGGATAATTCGAAGGTGACCTCTCTACATAACACGTAGAGCAAATACGTACGTCTTCTACGGATTCTAGGACAACTACCCCCTGGACAATTACCCACCGGACAATTACCTCCCGGACAATTACCCACCAGGACAATTACCCTACCGGACGATTACCCACCCGGACAATTACCCACCAGGACAATTACCCACCAGGACAATTACCCACCAGGACAATTACTCTCCGGACAATTACCCCCAGACAATTACCCACCAGGACAATTGGTTGTCTTCCAATTTCGCCAGTTTCCCATTTCGCCATTTTCCCACTTCGCCATTTTCCCATTTCGCCATTTTCCCATTTTGCCATTTTGCCATTTCGCCATTTTCCCACTTCGCCATATTTTATGTTGCTTCCACCCCCTGCACGAAATTGATCCTTCCATTCTTAAAAAAGAGTCATTTTTAGGGTTAGGGTTAGGGTTAGGGTTAGGGTGCCTGTACATGATCCATATGTTTTGATATGTACGATTTCGCCTTCTTGTTCTTCAAATAAATAGTTTACTCCATATCTGAAGATTCGTTATAATTTATTCATTACAGAGGCCTACTTTTAACCCACCTCGAACAAGGGGGTGGTCGGGGAGATAGGACGAAATGGCGGAATGGGAAACTGGCGAAACGGGTAACTCGCGAAATGGGAAACTGGCGAAGTGGGAAACTGGCGAAATGGGAAAATGGCGAAGTGGGAAATGGCGAAACGGGAAATCGCGAAATGTCAAATGGCGAAGTGGGAATTTTTAATGGCGAAATGGCAAATGGCGAAGTGGGAAAATGGCGAAATGGGAAACTGGTGAAATGGGAAATGGCGAAATGGCAAATGGCGAAGTGGGAAAATGGCGAAATGGGAATAAACCATGAGGACAATTACCAACCTAACCTTCCAATAAAGGGAAAAATTCCCCCTTCCGTAAAATGTTGTCCGCTGCAATACATAATGTATGTCTGGAAAAGAGAGAAATGCCTACCACATGTGTTGTGTTCAGAGAACAGCGGCGTCGATAATTGGGACGGGGAGGAGTCGCCCCTACTCCTCCTATAATGACGAAAATGCTGTATCCCCAAATGATCTTGCTCTTGGCCATGTACGTTATGTTATGTAACTGTTTGTGCGTGTGTGCGTATATGTGGCTGGCTGTGTGCGTGTGTGCGTTTCTGTGTGTGTGCGTCTGTGTGTGTGTACGTGAGTGAATATACTGATTTACAAGAATTTAATACAAGTGTTAATACTTGTGTGAAGTGCGGGGGGGTGGGCATGCCTCCCGAAAATCTTTTTTATTTTGATGCAAAATGGTGCAATTTGACGCATTAATTCTAAGGTCATCTATCTGAATTTTTTTCTAGCTTATAATTTAGTAGGATTGATAATATTTATCAGCAATTTGACCACATAGCAAATACATCACTAGTTTACTGCAACAGATATACGTACTTAATTGTCAATTTTCACAGCGTGATATATAAAATTGCTTTTAAAGGTCATGTAATCTGCCACTGTGGAAGTACTGTATATTTGCATATGTACATCCCTTCTTCACTTATGAATAGTTATAACAATAATTTCGACAGTGCGGTCAAAAATGAAACAATGGTCATTCTGAATGCTTGTGTAATGAATAGAATTGTGAATAAAGTTTCAAAATCATAACTGAATTGTCTAATATGAGGTTTTAAACCATTGTTTTCACATTGCATCTCTGAATTTATACAAGATTTTTAGTTTTTATGTGATACAGGTAGTGATAATATACATTATGAAAACACATAATTTTTCCATTATATCGCAATATATACATCTAATGATGTATTCAATAAATTCCGAATTTTAACAACCGCTCGAAGGGAGCAGACTGCAATTTCAGGCAATCGATAAATCGAACGCCTATGGTAGGATACGCGAGCGTGAGGATGCACAGATGGACTCAGCATGCGAGCGATTAGGCGCGGGGAGCGACGCTCGCGCGAGTATCGCCAGCACTGTCGCGTAGGCAAAGTATTACTTAATGTACGGAAAGGTAATTAAGTGGGTGTCGCGTCGCTGCTGTTTCTTGATTTACGCGAGTTTGCATTACGCGAATTTGCAATGGCGCGTATCACCTTAATAACAATAAATTTATTTGAAGAATAACAAGAACAACACTACAAGCATAACGCGACGCGGCTACTGCCAGGCGCGTGGCGAGCGCGTAAAATAAATGTGATTACGGTTATTCATTGTATTAAGTGACCCAGAAAATGTCTATTCATGTACGTGTGCATTGGTGGCTGCGCTTCGCTCCCGCTGCTGATGCGCAGGTGAAGGCACTTGCCGATATGAACTTCAATATCGGGTATCGAAAAATGTCGCAATTAAGTCAAAATATCGGCAGTATCAGCGAATGTTGAAGTTGAAATTATGAAATCATACAACATTCAACGTAATTGACCTAATACCCCTCCTAATAATCCACCTGGGGTAATAATTTACCTGGGGGTGGGTAATTGTCCTGGTGGGTAATTGTCCGGGTGGGTAATTGTCTGGGGGGTAGTTGTCCTAGTGGGTAATTGTCCTGGTGGGTAATTGTCCTGGTGGGTAATTGTCCGGGTGGGTAATTGTCCTGGTGGGTAATTGTC